CTTAGAGTAGAATAAAACTTAAGGCAAGAATATAAGTGTGTGATGGATACTTTTCTGTGCTATGACACATTGTGCAGTTTTTATACTTGTGTGTGACTCGGAAGGTTTGTCGTGTTTCCCAGGTGAGCTGTCTCTTACCTGCAGCGACACGGACTGCTTCAGCAGCGCGGTGTCCTCCAGCTCCAGTCATGTCCTGTTCATTGCAAATAGTCTGGTCTCGCGTTCTGCTCTGTTTGCAGTAGCAGCATGCAGAAAACCTAAGGTTGAACTTTTCTTCTGCACAGGACGCATTGATAGGAAAATAGAGTTCCCTCTGCCTGATGAAAAGACCAAGAAGCGAATCTTTCAGATTCACACAAGCAGGATGACCTTGGCAGATGATGTGACTTTGGATGAGCTGATTATGGCAAAAGACGATCTCAGTGGTGCAGATATTAAGGTCAGTGTACATCACCGTTGTTTGTACTTCAAAACATAAATCAAATCCATTTTTACTGCATCCAAAACCATGGTTTGTTGAAACTCTAATTACCTATGGTTACATTCCTGAGGGACAACTGGATGGCTTTAAAATGCCTTTTATGGGTGCCACGTACTGGAGATTTAGCAAAATAGTAATGGCGAGGTAGCTCCTGGTACCTGCCTTGTCTGGATGTGAAATTTTAAAAGTAGCAAAGCAGGAATTAGAAGGGGAATGTGGAATCTTGCACAAATATGCAAGATACCTTAAGCATTACTTGAGAGTGTGTGGGATAAGCAGCGTTTTAAGAGACTGTGGAAAGCAGATAGAATTGCAGCTGTAGACTAGGAAGCTTCAGGCACACATAGTCTGCTGTTCTGAAGCAGATGGAGCCCTTGCTGGAGTGGCCACGCTAACGAGCTTCACCAAACATGACACGACTGTGCTGCCTCACTGGAGAGGGGTGACACAGCCCCCCACTACCAGGGCTGGGTGCATCTGTTCCTCGCATGGAGCTGCCTTTCTGTCAGGGAAGTTACTCTGACCACAGGACGACGTTCTCATCTGGCTTCATCCAGCTTGTTTTACGTGTTTCAGTGCTGCCCAACAGCATCAAACTTCAGAATGTAAACGTCGTTAACGCGCTTCACTTCTACTTCAGGGCCACTCGGAGCCGTACGAACGTGCTGCCGCCTCCCAGGGTGCGGCCTGAAGGGGGTTGCACAGAGACAGTAACGTATTGGTGCCTTCTCTGTTGCAGGCAATTTGTACAGAAGCGGGACTCATGGCTCTGAGGGAACGGCGCATGAAAGTGACAAACGAAGACTTCAAAAAGTCTAAAGAGAACGTTCTCTATAAGAAGCAGGAGGGAACACCCGAGGGACTGTACCTTTAAGTCCTCTGTCTCTTTGGGGACTACCACCAGGAACTTTTCCTGTGCTGGTGATATTCTTGTGTAAAACCACAGTCTAGGTAATTGTCATTCTTGAAGACGTCAAAGCGTGGTAGGTTGTGGTTTTTCAGTTAGTGCAACACTTCCCAATAAAACATTTATTTGACTTGAACTGTTCTGGTGGCAAAGACCTGCTATTTACAGGGAACTGTCGGTTGCTTTAGTTGGACTTACTTTCATGAAAAAGTGCTGGTGCCCTGTGGGTGCTTGTCATGGTGATCCAAGCCTGCTGCTGCCACACCACACTGTGCGGGGAGGAGGCACATGCAGGTTCCTGGCCTGGCAGTCCTGTACAACTACTGTGTACCTGCTGCTGTTCTCCAGGTAACTTCTCTATCTCTTTTAGGGGCTAAGTAACCAGGACAGAAGTCACTTTTGAGTAACCTCAGTGTCCGAAGTCACAGACATATAAAAATTAGTGAAAAACATGCAAGCTTCAGTAACATTCAGCTGTGCCCATCTCTTGTCTGGTACTTGTGGTTACAAGAATGCAAGGTGGACACTCATGAGTGTTCTTAAAGATCTAAATGTGTTTGGGTAAGGTACCTGTAACATTAGAGAGATCATAAATCTGTTTTTCCCAAGCAGTTACAGTTCATGCTATAAATGCACTTTCTTTGAGATCACTCTGAGAACTGACCCAATAGGAGGCGCCTGGGCTGGCCCATGCCCTAACAGCAGCTACATCTTGCCCGGGGCAGCGGTTTGACACACTGCAGCCGTGCAGAGATAAGTTCAAACTACGAGTCACATGCTTGGTGTTCTGCAACGTAACCTTAAAATGAATGCCTCCCCTCTAAACCGATCTAGTGCCTGGAGCTCCAACCCCAGAGGAGTGAATTCCCATGTTGCAGCGATGCACATAGTGCTGATCGAGCGTTCTGGGCAGTGTACTTCTGTGACACGCTTGTTAAGTTCTAAGTAATTAATTTCCAGATATTGTACATGTGACTTTTAAAAGTGCCATGTTCAGCCCACAGTGAAGCCACGTGCAGTCTTTGTTCTGGAAGCTCTGTGGGAGCATACGCTGGCCTGGGACAGACACTGGGGAGTGACACCCAGAGCGATCCCTTTGCTAACTGCCAGTGCTGTAACAATGGTAGCAGCAAGGCCAAGAGATTTTGTTTTGTCTGTGTAAAAATTATGTGGTTCATTGTTAAACCCTACAGCTGGATGAAGTCTTTTATTTAATGTGGATGGCAGGAACCCTGAAATAGAGTTGTTTTTCAGCTGGAGATACAAAACCAAGCAGCAAAGTTTTATTACCCATTATAAACCTTATGAGATCTGTCTCCTTGGAAAGGTCACAAAAAGCCAGTGATTTTTTAGCACTTTCTAATCATGGCAGTTGATCTCATCATCACTTGAGGGGCTGAAGAGCTTTATGACATGTGTGGCCAGCAAGGCTTTTTTGATTTGGGACATGGCTGTTAGCACTGGCTAGAAGCAACAGCCCCAAAGAGGTTGGTTCAACTGACTGAAGGAAGGCTAAACCAAGAACTGTGTTCTGGTACACTGTCTGCCACACAGTCACTGAAAAAGAAACATATTTGAGAATTAAATTCTTACCTTTTGCAGAAGAATTTAACTTCTGCCACTTGCTCCAGCATTCCTGAACTTGAGTCACAAGAATCAAGACAAAAGTAATAAAGATCAGGAGAAAAGGAACAGCAAGTCTATTTCCTGGAAGTACAGAAAAAGCTACAGGGGTCTGAATTAAAAGGCAGGACTGACTTCAGGAGCCCCAGTAGGTGAGCAGCCCTCACCCCGAGCGGAGGACGGAGCAGAAGTGCTGCATCAGGAGAAGCTGTGCAAAGGAAAGGGCCCCGGGAGCGGACACACGGAAAAGGGCCTGAGTCATCACCATCGTCGCTGGAGGTTTTCAAGATGAGACTGGACAGGGTGCTGGATAGTCTCACCCAGGCTCCCCAGCCCACAGGCGGCTGGACCAGATGATCTTCCGAGGCCCTGCCCCACCTGGGCCGCTCTGTGACTCTGACTGAAGAGAAGCACAAGCAGGAGCACCACCCAGCTTCCCCCCGCCGCGTCTCTGCCAGGCCTGTGGAGGAAACGGCGTTCTGCTTTGATGGGAGAGCACAACCACCCCCCCCACCCGCTTTGTGACGGTACTGTTCAGCGCACACAGCAACTCCTGTTCAGGAGCTCTGCCATTTCTGAAAGAAGCATGGGTTTTAAAAATAAAATACCTATTTTTTTTTTTTTACAAAGACTAATCAATTACTTCTATAGCAAAACCAGCATTACTTGCAACCACAGCAACATTATACAGCTCTTAAGAAGTGCTGTAATGCCATTTAAAATTCTGCACGTTCCCTGTAATACTTAAAGCAATTTTAGACAGGAATAAATGAAGTGCAGCCTAAACTAAAATCTATTATAGCTTGTATTGCGGTGCTACAGGCAAAAACAAGCCATGGGTTGTATGGCTTTGTTCAGCCATCGTTTTCTGTGTAATCAGATCTCACCAGCTGGATGATCCTGACCGTTTTAGTGCTGTTAGTTTCCTCCTTAAAAACCTCTGAAACAGTTTTGGGTATTCGGTGGCTGCAGGTACCCTCTTTTTCAGATGAAGATCCAGTTTCCCTCAAGCGTAGGGATGGCTTTTACATATTTCAACATATTCTGTCTCATAAAATAAATACATAACATAACAATATCTTTAAATTGTTACCGTATTTCATGTTACTTCTCTGGGAGCTTGCCTAAAGACTCTTGGAATAGAAGCTACTAATTAAACAATCATGTTTTGACTCCTCTGCTTTCTTTAGCGAGGATTAAATGCAGACCAGACCTTTACTTCTCTTATGATGATTGCCTGTATTTGGGTCGAAAGCAAGTAATCAATTACAAAACCTTGTTTAAAAGTGAGCTGCTTAGAGATGCCTTATGGATACATTTTCATTTTTAATACACTCACAGTTCTACTAAATTAAGAAATAAAAAAATAATTCAAGTTCCTTTTGATTCAGGTATATTTTTCATAAATACTCATATTAAAATGGTCATCTGTCATACAAATACAAGTCCAAAACAGGTGCCTGCTCAAGCAAACACTGCGCTTTTACTACTGGTGTATGTACAGACGCAGGCATACCAAGCTGAAGGAAACTCAACTGGAGACTGCCAGCTGGAGGACAGCGGAACACCCATTTGGCAGATGTTTATTTCCTGTGCTGCTCACCAAGCCGTAGCTGGCATGTCCTGAATCTCTACTGAACTCCAGGGAATGTCATTTCAAACAATAGAATAAGAAATGCGGGCGACATCCAACAGGAGGCTATTTATAAGAGCGTATCCTTCTGTGGGAACCAGCAATACTTCAGAGAAATGGATGCGTTTTTGTGGGCAAAATGCAGTACTTGATTCCTGAATACTTGCAGCTAGAACTGCACTTTGATAGCAATTTATATAAAAGCTTAAAAAAAAACAACCCACCAAAAAAAAAAACCAACCTTAAAAAGAAAAAGTACACAGTACTCGAGTCCCAACAGAGCTTGCGGCTGAAAAGAGAGGCCTAACTTAGTTTTGGAAGTAGCTCCTGTACTTTCTCCACGCATCCACAGTCTTTTAAACCTCTAATAGTAGATCCAGCTCTTCCATAGGTACCCGCACTCTCAATTCTTTTTCAGTCATCAGATCAAGCGTCTCTTGCAGATGATCAGGGAAGTACTCTACTGCATCCATGTAGAGAACCTGGAGAGGCAACGGAACATGGTCAGTGCCATCCTTCTGTCATAGCAGGACACACAGCATAAAGAAGTACGTAGATACGCAAACAACTCTGTAGCAAGGACGTAAGAAATACACTTCTTTAAAATAACACAAACAGAAGTAGTTCTTCTACAGTGACAGCAATGTAGATCTTTAATCAAGTCTTTTCCAACTCTTACTGAATAATTTTATTCAAAAAGACTAAACACAGGTCAAGAGGTGCTGGAGTATTAGCAGCGTACACAGACATTACCTGAGGAGTTGGAGGTGCTCCTGAATAATTTCTTGTACTATTAACTAAATACATTTTTATTTGCCTATGTATTTCTGTTCATGATAAAACAGTCTGAAAGATACGACCACTTCTGCAAGAGGAATTTATTACCTCCTTGCCTCATGCCATTCACCACCTTTCTGTTCTGAAACACAAACAGCACTGACACTGTTTCCATTTCAGATGCATGTCTCATTGGCAGAAAATCTTACAGTACCGCATCAGAAATCTTTCCTTGCATTTGCGTATAACTCATTACAACAACTACTAAAGTCTAATTTTTTTTTCTAAATACAGAACTTCGAAAATTGGAGTATGATGACAAGTTTATGTTTTTTTCCATGCTTACCTTTGCCCAAGGACAGTTTTGAAGGGCTTTATAAAACAATCCTTTACTTTTTTCTTTTTTCCCTAGTGAAGCCTGTGTGAGAAAAAAAAAAGTTCATATTTCAATGCAGTAATAGCTGAAAGAGTAAAACAATTACCTCAGACAAAGAAATTACTGCTGAAAAGCTCAGTGTTGTTCTGCTGAGGAATCCTGATAACTAGGTATGGTGGTAGCTATGCAATTTGACAGGTTACACTGGTGACACTGGCTACACTCTTCAATGTAATCGAAGAGACACCTTTAAGGAGTTTCAGGGCTCTACTTGGAAGAGCAGTAGTAGAACAAAGACCAGCAGAAAGAGCCTCTGCTGAGTATTTCAGTTGAAGTCAGTGCCTTTGTCTGTGTCTGACTATAACGCTGTAACAGGCAAGAGTGCAAATCATTCACCAACCCTCACACCTGATATGCTACACACGTACCTCACAAGAGCACCTTTGGTGCAGGGGAGGTGGTAATACATTATTTTTGTGCACTGAAGAGATCATCCACACCCGTTTTGTTACTCTGCAGAAGCTTGTTAAGGCTGAATCCCCTTACACACAAAAATGGATCTGTCAGATCAGCATCTATCTGGAAGGAGTATAAAACTTCTTCCTCAAAGCACCCGTTCCACTGTGCAACCCAAGTACAGAGCACACAGCTGTGGTGAAGTTTAAACAGAGAGGGGTAGCAGAGGTCAGAGCGCTGAACAGTCTCCTGAGCTTCAGTCATCCCTGTTACACGTAGAAATAATCACAATTTCTTGTGAAGAAACCTTTGAATTTGGCTACTTTACAAACACTTAACAAACGGGATTTTATGGCAAATCCAAAAAAGCAGTAATTCCAAAATACTGAGAATACGTTAAAAGTTTTCAGATCTTTGAAGAAGAAGAGCTCTTCAATCATGAGTTTACATTTTCTCTTGTTCTGACTACATCAGTGCTGCTGCTAAAAACCAGCAGGTTCCCTTGTCAACTCTTAAAATCTAGAAAGTCTTTTTCACATTTTTGCCACATTGGTTGTAGAAACTTGTGCTGTTCTGGTGTCACGACCTCCCTTGACGGAACAGCAATGCATTTCACTTACTGGAAACCCCACTGCCAGAGCTGTGCACTAAGACACAACCACATCTGCAGCTCTGCAAAGAGCTTTCAGCAGCGTTCTGCCCCCAAGTTTTTCACAGAATCACTGAGGTCGGAAGGGACCTCTGAAGATCATCTGCTCCAACCCCTCTGCTCAAAGCACGGTCAGTAAGAGCAGGCTGCTCAGAACCATGTCCACTTGGTTCTGAATATCCCCATGGATGGAGACTCCATAACCTCTGAACAACCTGTCCCAGTGTTTCACCACCCTCACAGTAAAAAAGCTTTTTCTTATGTTTAAATGGCTTTTTCTATATTTCGGTTTGTGGCTATGGCCTCTTGTCCTGTCACTAGGCAGCACTGAGAAGAGCCTGGCTGTGCCTCACACAATGTATTTACATACATTGACAATGTTTTCCACGACCCCGCACTTCCGCAGGCTGAACAACCGCAAGTCTCCCAGCCTCTCCCTGTACAACACGTGCTCCAGCCCCTTACTTGTCTTCATGGCTCTTGGCTATCCAGAGGGACCTGGGCAGGCCAACAAGCAGAGTACAGCGCATCAGCCACTCCTCTTGATCTTGTGTCGCCTGCAGACTTGCCGACAGTACACCCTCTCATCCTCCAGATCATTAATGAAGATGTCAAAGGGCACTGGTCCCTGGCGTCAGTCCCTGGGGTACAGCACCAGTGGCTGGCCTGCAGCAGGAGTCCACACTGCTGATTACAGCCCTTTGAGCCTGGCAGTTCAGCCAGATCTCAGTCAACCTCGCTGTCCACTTACCTACTCCATGCTTCATCAGATTGCCTACAAGGATGTTGTGGGAAGCAGTGGAAAAGGCTTGCTAAAGTTGAGATAAACAACGTCCACTGCTGTCCCTTCATCCACTGGGCTAGTCATTTCATTGTAGAGGGCTGCCAGATCGGTCAAGCACAGTTTCGTTAAAAATAAATAGGAATTTAAGAGCCATATATAAAAGCTTTGTGTTTTTAAAACAGTGAAAAGCTTTTGCCCAAAATACCAAAGACTGAATATCTAGACACGCAAAGAAAACAGAGATCTATAAAACTTAGGGTAATACTGGACAATCACAACTTCTTCTTCTATGACTGTATCTGAAAATGTTAATGTTTCTAATTGATTTTGCTTCTCTGACCAATGTTATTCAGCGCTATTACTGCAGAAGTATTATTCTCCTCCATCTTATTAGCAGCTAAATATTCCTTGTTGTTCTTGTGAAAAAGATACCTTCCGTGAATGAATCATTACAAATAAAATACACACTGGGTGATTTTACTTTAGCATTTCTGTTTACCAGAGTCTCATTAGTAGCTGGTAAAGAATAACAGTAATTCAATTGTACATTCCTAGATACGAAGTTGCATAAAAGATTTACAAGCATTTATTTGTGTAGAAGTGGTCACAGTAATAGTCCTACACAAGAGACCTTCTCAAACACAAATCAAGACACTCTCCTTCCCCTGCCTCCTCCGTATTTCACAGCCTGCTAACTGCTGTTCCCCTCTGACAGCCTATTGATATATTGCATGTATCACCAGAGGACATGAACAGAGGAGTAATACTGTGGAATGAGATTCCCCTTACATGAGTTCCAAGGATTTGTGTTTTCATCTTCCATATTGTACTTTAGAGAAGCAAGAAAAGCAGCAAGATGACAAAACTAACTATGTGAAACTAATTTTATTTATGTACTTCGTGGTGAACTACAGAAGAAATGAACGTTATTGGGTTTTGGTGTTATTCTGCAATGCCAGTTAGCGTAACCTTTATATGCAGCTTTTAAGATTGAAAAAGATTGTGAAAATTCAAGGCAAGTTATAAAATCTATAGCTACGTTTTCCCTACCATGCATTTACTTTGCACATGGACTGCACCTTGCTGGCAGATGTCATTGCGAGGTCACTCTTGTCAATCTTTGATCAATCACAGCAATTGGGAGAAATGCCCAAAGAAAGTCAAATATCACTCCTGTCTTCAAGAAGGGCAAAAAGGAGGACCCACGGAACTACAGGCCAGTCACCCTCACCTTGATCCCTGGGAAGGTGATGGAGCAGCTAGTCCTGGAAACCATTTTCCAGGCACATGTCAAAAACCAAAATCATCAGAAGTAGTCAGCATGAATTCACTAAAAGTCACGTTGGCCAACTTGATAAACTACTGTGATGAAATGACTGGCCTGGTGGATGAGGTGAGAGCAGTGGACATTGCCTACCTGGACTTCAGTAAGGCCTTCGACACTGTCTCCCGTAAGATCCTCCTAGACAAGCGGCTGCTCTAAGAGCTGCATGAGCAGATAGTGCAGTGGACTGAAAACTGGCTCAACATCTGGGCCCAGAGGGTGGTGATCAGGGGAACAAAGTCTAGTTGGAGGCCAGAAACTAGCTGTGTACCCCTGGGGTCAACATTGGGTCCAATCCCATTTAACATCTTCATTAATGGTCTGGAGGATGGGGCAGAGCGTAGCCTCAGCAAGCTTGCAGATGACACAAAACTGAGAGGAGTGGCTGATACACCTGAGGGTTGTGCCACTGTCCAGAGGGAGCACAACAGGCTGGAGAAACGAGCTGACAGAAACCTCACCAAGTTCAACAAGGAGAAGTGCAAAAGTCCTGCACCTGGGGAGGAACAACCCCTTGAATAAATACATGCTGGGGGCCACCGAACTGAAAAGCAGCTTGGGAGAAAAGGACCTGAGGGTCCTGGTGGACACCAAGTAGAACAGGAGCCAGCAGTGTGCCCTTGCAGCAAAGAAGGGCTAACGGCACCCCGGGCTGCCTTAGGCAAAGCATTGCCAGCAGGCTGAGGGAGGTGATCCCTCCCCTCTGCTCAGCACTGGTGAGGCCACACCGGGTGCTCTGTGCCCAGCTGTTGGCTTCCCAGTAAAAGACAGACCTGCACATAACGGAGAGAATCCAATGAAGGGCCACTAAGATGACTCAGAGACTGGAGCATCTCTCCTATGAGGAGAAGCTGAGAGAGCTGGGACTGTCCAGCCTGGAGAAGAGAAGGCTCAGGGAGGGATCTTATCAATGTTTACAAATACCTGAAGCGAGGATGTAAAGAAGATGGAGCCAGGCTCTCTTCAGTGGTGCCCAGTGATGGGATCAGAGGCAACAGACACAAACTGAAACACAGGATGCGCTGTCTGAACATCAGGAAACACTTTTTCACTGTGAGGGTGACTGAGTACTAGCACGGGTTGCCCAGAGAGTTAGGCATCTCCATCCTTGGAGATATTCAAAAGCTACCTGGGCATTGTCATGGACAACTGGCTCTAGGTGGCCCTGCTTCAACAGTGGAGTTGAACAAGGTGATCTCCAGCGGTCCCTTCCAACCTCAACCATTCTGTGAAGTTACACAAAACCAGGATCTAGATTTGACTGAAATACCAAAGTCCTTATAACTTCCTTACAGAACCCTAAAGTAGGTCTAAAACATAAATACAAAGTAATCTTTGCTGATTTTACTTACATAAAAATAAAATCTTAAGTTGCTACAATTTGCTTCCCCTTTTCTTAAATTTTGCTCCCTGCCCACTTACCTTTATATCCTGAGTAAGACTGGGTGGAATCCATCTATTGACATCTTATGACATATTTTTTAATCCGCGTAAAATGGCAGCCACAATAACTCACCTGCATCTATAATAACACTACACTGTCAGAAGCTATTATGCCTTCTAATCCATCTGAGTTACATTTTCCTTAATATTCCCAGCAATAAGGAGCATTACAATTCAAATACACCACCTTGCAAATCATAGAGGTATGGAAGCATTTAGTGTTCCTTTTTTATACAGTACTGTAGCTGTGTTCACATGAAATTCCAAATATGATAAAAAAACCCAAAACAAACCAAAACTGATACTCTTCTTCTTACCAGAAAGTTCAAATACATTCTCCACAGCAGTGGGCAATGGGCACCATTTTCACTTTGAACTGCGTGTTCAAACAGAGCTATTATCCGATTTGTTAACCCAGTTTCAGGAATAGTAGAATGTATTTCACCAACATCTGCCCTGAAACACAGAGGAAAAAAGAAACCACAGTCCCTTAAAGCCAAGCTAAATGACCACATCCAGGTAAGAGAGGGTGAAGATCCATGTACTGTCTCCATTCACATAGCCCTGAACATAGACAGGTATTTGCATTTCTTGCTACAAACTCTGAATGTTATAAACCAGATTTTTAGCTAATCCAATCAACACATTTCTAAATAGGAAAATTGGTTAAAAAAAGATAAATGAGGTATTTTTTGTGAAATTTCTTTTAGCATGTTGAAAAATTAACCCTGTCCAACCAGAAGAAATAATTTCTCTTTGAGTATAATAATCCACTATCATATGATCTTAAAACGTATCTTAGTCTCTGTTCAAGACCGTTTATCATTCCAAGCTTGGCACAGCAGCTCAAACCAAATTCAAGGCTAGGTCAGCAAGCCTTCTGCTCGTGCCCAGGCAAGTCTGTTCAAATTTACCCCTGTCACCTTTGTAAGGCCATAAAGGTCTTGGATCGAGGCTTAGATTACAGCTCTGGATCTCAACCGTGATTACAATAATAATTTTCTTTTTTCACCCAGAAATTCAAATCCCCTAAGTTTCAGGCATAACACAAAAGCAGATATGTATTTTTCACTGGAGCACTGATTTCTATCTACAGCTGATACAGTCTGGCTTACTTTTGATGCTTGACCTTGCAGAAACAGCCTGGAGCACTCAAGGCAACATCACTTCTGTCTGTGTGCACTCTGTTAGCCTGCCAGCTTGTTCCACTCACCCTTAACACTTGCTCCTAACTTCCCTCTTTTTTCAAGGGTCTTTGAGGTCATGTTCCTCTCATCTTAACCTGTGCCATGAGGGAAAATGATGTAATCTATTCTGCACGGAGTCAGACATTTGAAGCATTGTACCTCACACTGACTTTTATAAGCTACTGTTTTACCATTCATGTTCATTTCTTTAAATGAATTCCATGCGCTTAAACAAGCAGAAATACAAAACAGAACAGGAAATAGTCACATGTAGTACAGACATTTTCTTAGCTTGTCACAACATCGTATAACATTAGTGTTATGCATGACTTGACAGGCCATTTATCTCTGTTGCAGCAGTTCAGCTCTGCTCTTGCAGCATCCACCTTGTCCCTATACAAATACAACCTGTAAGAAAGGCTATACTAGCAGAGAAAAATCTGGAAAGGAACTAAATGTCACAGAGAAAATCATCATTCTGGAACTTTAACATCAGTTTCCAGTGACAATAATGAAATCCTATCATAGTGTCAAGTCTGCAATTAACAGTAAATCAATCCTCCTTTACATTTGGTGGCTGTAGAACTCCTATTACAATTTAGGATAGCATACAGTGACAGCTCGGGAATGTCACTATCACGTATGCATGCCTGCTCCCAGACTGTGGCAATCAAAGCAGTGGGTGCACCGTCCTTCTAAAGTACAATGGTAATTCTGTAATTTCATCAAGCGTAAATATCGTAAGCTTACAGCTATGTAAAGCTTCCACATAACGTTTTCCTAGAAATCTCCATTGCTACGTGCAGCCACAAAGAATCAAGCGGCCAACGTTGTCAGATATACATAGGCAGCAGCAGATAAGTAGCGCCAAGCAATGGGTACAGACCAGCTGGAGACTAAGCTTTAAGAATGAACACATACCTCTGTTCCCCGTATCTCCTTCCCTTTCCTCCTTTCCCAGAGCAAAAAAATCTGAGCTCAGACCACACTGCAAATTCAGGAAGTTTCCAGCCTCCTCTACCTAGCAATGGCCCCATACAAAAAACTAAGCTCTCATGTACTCGCAATGGAAGCGGATCTGTCACAACTGTACTCTGTGATCCAGGAGCAAGTAGGGCAGTGAGCTCAGGCAGAAACTGCAGCGTAGCTCTGTATTACGCTCCTGATCGCTGTAGTATTGAAACGCAGACATTTCCAAGCTCACAGTGTCTACCTTGGCCACCTAAGCAGACCCTTAGTTATTTAAAAATTAATTAAAGAAATGCGTACCTTCTTGATGTCAGTAGCAAGCAATCAAACACAAAGCAACACACTATCTGAGCCAGTGGAAAGGACGTGGGACTACTACCTAGGTCTTTAATTCTATTTAGGATTCTGCCACTGACGCACTGTTTAGCCTTGAACAAATAACCTTCCCTAGCCACAGCTTCTTCATCTGCAAAATAAGAACTACGACAGCATTTTCTCTCCTCTGTTAAGGGATTAGACAGATCAAAAAAAAAGCATAATCATAAGGAGCTGCAAGATATTACCTCTGAACAGTCTCAATGAGTTTTTTTCTCATCTGCTCTGCTTGGATTGCAAACAGCCATGGCTCTAAAGAGTTAGCAGACCTTGTGACACCATCAAAAAATCTCCGTGCTTTGCTAGCACTGTGAGACTTCCTTTGGATGTGGATGTACGACCTCCAAAGAGACTGGTTGCTAGGATACCGTTTCAGAGCCTCCGTTAGTGCCTCTCGCAGAGGATTCAAAGGATAAACACTAATTTTCATATGGAATCTGAGTAAATTTGTATGCAGCAGTGTGACAGCTTCAAGAGCAGTGGGAAAATTTTGAATGCCAAAATTCTCTCCAGCATTTTCACATTTCTGCGGACCAGAAGCTTCAAGTTTTTCTGAAGTCTGTGCATATATTAGTACTGCAGCATCAATCCCAACAGTCAAATACTGGAACAGTGCATAACATCCAACCAAGTTAACCAGCTGATTAGCATCACTGGCCTGTTCCTGATCAGAAACTGGTGGTTTACTTAAATAATCTTGCAGTGCATGCTCATACGTTTTACGAGCTTTCAAGACATTCACAGGTAACACTTGTCCACTGTAGGGTGCATACGGTCCACTTTCAGCCAATTTGGTCAGCACGTGAACAGCGCGTGACATAACAGCTCCTTCCACACTTTCGAGCAGTTCCACTTCCAGCTGAGCGTAAAGCAGACTGAGGCTGCAGAGCCGGGGACTCTTCAGCCCGCCTGTCCCTGCCGTGCAAAGAGCCGTGTCAAATACCTTCCTGGCATCATCAGTGTTACCAAGCAGCCATTCTAGGTAGGCATACAGTTTCCAGAGAGAAAGGTGGTTTCGGTTGTCAGGTGCTTTAAGGAGATTCTTGGCCAACTTTTTACTCTTCCTCCCTTGTGCTTTCAGCTTCCTCTTGTTTTTTGCTTGAAGACACTGAACTACCTGCAGGGGAGAATAAACAGAATAAATTTTGAGAAGGGTGGGAGAAGAAAGGAAAAAAAAAAAAGCCTCATGGCATTTTTTAATTTCATTACCAGGTTTGTTTTCATATTGTTCTGTATTTCACCACCACCCAGATCTGTTGCTACCAAGTACTGTGAGTTGTCACAACTGCCTGTTGTCAGCTCCCTCCAACATAGCCAAATTACACAGGCTTTTCATTCTTACTCCTGCCACTGACATTAAGTAGTATCAAATTTCATGCTTTTAAAAGGCCAACTGCTCGAAAAAAGAGCTGCTAGCCTACGGTAATGGTTGAGAAAAGGAAAACAAATGATCCTGTCTGGCCAGACGCAGCTTATGACTACCACAATTAAACCTCCAAGTGGCTTTTCACAGTGGGGAATGTGCTGACAGACAAATCTGGAGATTAGATGGAAAGATTACAGGAGATCTTCTGGTCAGGTAGTGCTTGGGTAAAAGACAGGGAACTTCTCCATAAGGAAACACAATACTAAACTTTCTGAAGCATTATGAAGACTAGCTGGACTCTCACCCTTCTGTAGGCATCTATTAGAGCAGTTTTACCTAAATAACTCCATATTCAAGTGATAAGGTGCTATTTCCTTCAGTAACACTACAAATGTGACTTGTATAAGTAGTAAATTTCTTGATAAGGTGCTCTTACCACGGTACTGGGGAATATAGAACAGTTTGGTAAAAGTACTTAGCTGACTCACTTTGCCTTGTAAAACAATCACCTGCATCCATTCCTGTCTAGCACACAATGTATCATATATAACACTTACCCAAAACTGCAAAACACATTTTGTTACACGTATGTCACTGTCTAATATGTACTGAAGAAAGGGGGTTGGTTTGGCTTTTTTTACCCCAGTGCAATCTTAACCGACATTTCCTGTTTTGAATACTTAGTCCTACAAGACTTCGTTTTTGTCAATATATATTTTAATTCAATATAAACATTAATACACAAGAAAGAAGAAAGCCACACATCACAAACATCATTATATGCAGACTCCTCATTACCTTAGATATTTCATACTGTAACCAACAAATGGACAGGTCAGATTTTTCCTTTCCTGAAAATAGCAGGAATAGAACATGAAAAACATTCTGGATGAACTCCTCTCCTTCTTTATAGTGGCCTATGTGATGTCTCCCTCGTGGCATTGTGTCCATATGACCAATACTGTTGAATCCAGAAAGTGGAAAATCAACAGAAGTCAGTGGCTTTTCATCAGAAAGCACACTGTCAAAGATGTTATTTTCATCCATGGCAATATAGAGGTTGGAAGGAAAGAGTTTACTTGTACATGGAACTCCAAGGAATTGCAAAAACGAGTACAGGAGTTGATGCTGCAGATCAGGATTAGAAAGCTGGATTAAAGATGGTCCAAGATCATCAAATAATACCTAAAAAAAAAAAAATTAAAACAAACTCTGTTAATTTATGCACTCAAATAAAATGAACAAACCTGTAATTTAAGTAACTAAAGAACCTTTTCAAGTCAATAAAGATTTATAATTACTATTAAATGGTAACAGAATGTCATTCAAATTTAAAACAGACAAGTTTAACAAGCAATGTGTTCTTCCATATTGTAAATTTGCTATCAAGACATTTTTTTGCCCTTGAGTATCAAAGGCCTCTGCAGAAAACTCACAGGGTCTGAAAGATATTATTGCTTAGCCCATTTAACACATTGTTATTTGAAAAAAAATCAATGTCTGACTTGACTTATCTCCCAAAAATAAAAAAAAAAACCCAAACAAAAAACCATAAAAAAATCCAACTATCTGACTTGAAGGCAACAAAACCTTTGTTTATTTAATGCATGTATCTTGCTAAACAGATTTCTGTGACATGTCCACATACAGATAAGAGAAATCACAGAACAGCAAAGACAGACTATTTGCCTACAGCCCTTTCCAAAGTTTACCATGAGCTTCCCACGGATTTCAGAAGTCTCAGCATGAAACCTCACGTAAATTTTGAATTTCAAACAAAGAAAATGATTACTCCTCTAAAATACCCTATTGCCAATGAACTCAAATGAAAGGCTAATTCATCTCATCTCCCCTTGTTTTATCATATCACAGTGACCTGTCTTTCTGGATCTTCACAATCTTCTTCAGTTTCCTTTTTTGTTTTGTCTGGCCTCCAAGGTAACCAATGCCTTGCTTCACGAGAATATTCAATATCCAACCAAATATGCCACTTGGGGAGAGTTTTATCCTTTATTTCTTGATCCTCATCTATCTCTTCATCATCATCATCATCGTCTAAAACCAAATCAGGACACACACACACACAGACAAAATTATTAAAGAAAAATTAATCCACCAAATCCAAAGGCCTGACTTGACATACAATTTAGCTACTTTAAAAATGTAAATAAATACAGTGTTAATAAAACAGACACAAGACAGAGCTGAAAATTTCCACATCACAGTTCTGGGTTTTGACACCAACTCTGTAAGAATAGGAGGTTTCCAAACTTTTTGAACCAGTGAATCAGTGTCAGCACTCAAGCCTTCTCATAGAGAAGAAATGAAAGCACTGACAGGCTGTGGGGACCACTTTTAGCAATAGCAGTGTCCTGGGTTACAGTGTAAAATGTGC